GGGGCTAGAGAGAAGGAATTATATATTGGATAATGGACACTGGGATAGGACTGTGAGCACAGAGCAGAAATCCCAGGAAACACTTCACTGTTCATGAATATTTCAGGATAATTATGGATCTAGATATTCTCTAATCAAGAATATAGGAGCAGAAGAGGCTAAGATGATTTTTGGGACTAGCCCAGAAAAGCAGGGAGAGAGATAAGATGGGAGTTGTAGGAGAGAGTTTTTTCCTGCTGAAGGCTGGGTTTTGTTCAGCTCTTGGGGAAAATGACTTTCACATTTCTCCATCTTTGCTGCAGCACAAGAAGTCGAGAACATCGGGGCTGTTAATGGGTACATGCTATTTTTCCCTGCCCAGTTAATAATGCCTGTACTGCTGACACGGGCTGGGAGTCAAAGGTAACACCCCCAACCACCAAACATGATGCGATTAATCCCATTCCCTCCACACGACAACTCCCGAACACAGTTTGGAAATGACAAGCACTTGATGAAGTGACCTGACATCATTCAAAAACAAACTTCCAAATCGGTGCTCGAGCAGTTTTGTGGCCCAAGAAGTGAACTTAAAAGGGATTTCTGCTGATTTTTAAATCCTTCAGGTAATGGGGGTGGAAAGTTACTCAGGGAAACACGGCATCAGCAAAGTCACCACCTCTGTCCCCAGGCCACCAGGCCTCAGTCCAGCTCCACAAATACTTGGAAGAGAAGACAAAGGAATGTGGTGCCCACATTCCACACGCTTACCTCCCATCCAAAGTTTGTTTCCTTTAATGTGCTCCTCTGTACTGCCATATAGGGTCCAAATCTTTCCCCAACTTCAATCTTCTTTTTGGCCCAAATCCCTAGCCCTGCCCCTGGGATCGAAGATTCTCTGAGTTCAAAATCTGGTGGGATTGGAATGTCATCAGGAATGTAGACGGGAGCTTCATAGGGTGAGCCCTCCTTGGGAGTGAAGTCCTCACTGGTGGGGAAGGGTGACGGAGGTCCCACAGGGATGGGGGACATTATACTGTCCTCAGTTTCCTCCTCTGCGCTTTCTCCAGCAAGGAGATCAGGGTCGGTCTCGTACATATTATTTACAATCTCGCTGTCACCTAAAAGGGGAAACAGCAGAACAAAACACACTGAGATACTCACGTGAACATTGGTTAATCTCTCCCTGGGACAGAGTTTCGCTAAGCTGAGCTTGCACGCTTCTAAAGGATAAAACCCTCCCTGGAGGAACTCAGGTGGAGCCGAGGCAAGGACACTGACAGTCATGGGGTGCTGCAGAAGGGTGGGGTGAGGCTCACTGCAGCCAGGTGTGCTCTGTGGGATCAGGGGTCCTCTGCTGTTCGCACTTTGGTTTTGGAAAGGGGGAAGAAAACACAGAAGAGGTGGCTGAGGTTCTCTTTGGCCACTTCTTGCTTTAACTGGCTCAGTGTATTTTGTAAAAGGGAAAAAAATAATTTTAAAAAATGAAATAAATTAGGGTAAAATCCCAGTTTGGCAAGAAGTGTTTGCCTGGTGTTCGGGGTCCCTGCTCAGTATGTCCCACACCAGCACCTGTGGCTGTGAGCTCCCAGCTACACCTCAGCCATGCACCCCTGCAGGTGTAACAGAACATCACTGCTTTGTAATCACTGAATCCTGGAGAAGTGGGGTTGGAAGGGACCTTAAAACCATCCAGTGCGACCGCCTGACATGGGCAGGGACCCCTTCCACTATCCCAGGCTGCTCCAAGCCCTGTCCAGCCTGGCCTTGGGCATTTCCAGGGATCCAGGGGCACCCACAGCTGCTCTGGGCACCCTGTGCCAGGGCCTGCCCACCCTCACAAGAGGAATTCCTTGCTAATCACTAATCCAGCCCTACTGTCTATCACTCTGAAGCCAATTCCTCCTTGTCCTTGAGTGAAAACCCTGGACACACAGAGGCCTATAAAGTTTGGGGATTTTTCCAAGAGGAATCAATTTCTAAGCAACGCCATTCATGTAATGAAAATGGAGCTTTCTCATTCAAAAAGCGAAAAAGGGTGGTGGGGGGGGAGCAAAACATGAAAGGAGAAAAGAAAAACACAATTTGTCACCCAACAGAAGTGGCTGGAGTATTTTGGGAGCAGAGTTGCCCTGTCTCCAGCGGCCGTGAGGCAGCACGGGCGTGCTCAGCAGCTCCCACCACGATAACAAACCCAACAACCGCCTCTTTGTGGGCACTCCCGTGGGGCACAGCTAATGCCTGAGCCCTGATCTCACCAGGGGGGAGCAGCACCCCATCAAAACGACACTTCTCACTGGCTCCCAGCTAGGAACCATCAAGGAAGAATAGCTGGAAAAGCACGGCTCGACTTGAGGTATTTATAATTCATCTCTTCGCTAACCTCAGAATGCACCTTCTGTCTGCAAGACACATCTCCCCCTCTCTTTTTTTTTTTTTTTTTTATGCCTAGTAAAGATTTTCCTGAGTTCATGCCTAAGAAACCTGGTGGCAGACTCAGCTAAAGAGGAGGATTTTGATTCCTCTGCCAACATTTTTTTGCTCCAGCTTTTGAAGAACAGGGAGCTGCCTGCTGCAGTTGACAAGGGTTTCCTCTGCTAGAAAGTACCCTCCCTACTCAAACATGTCACCAGAACCAAGCTTTCATGGACATGAGATACTCCATCATCCTGAAAATATTTGTGGTTGCAGTAAATGTTTTCTTACCCAGTATTAGCAAGTCAAATTATTTTCTGCTCTATGATTAGCCTCTTTTGCACTTAAGGAACAGGAATTCCAACTGAGTTGAAGAGCAAAACTGGGTTTTATTGGAGCATGACCTGTGAAAATTTCCAGAGGATACCAGTAAAGTATAAAGATACCTTACTACTGAACACCATTAATTTAATTTCTTCTATGGGACAAGTTCTTCCGGGGCAGTTCTGATGAAATTTTAATTAACAGTGAAGCTGATCCTTCATCTGACTGACCTCATATTTCAAGAGAAATCACCAAAAGATAGGTAAATGTGTCTTTTCAGTTGTTAAATGACCAGGCACTTGCAAGAGGCACAAAATGACAATGAAACAACAATTTCGGGTCGCAATAGGTCTGATACCAGAGATTCCAGGAAGCACCTGTGGGAGCATAATCCCAGCCGGGCAGATGTAGGAATGTTGGGTTCCTCAGCACAACCCAGTGCTGAGATCAACAAATTGTACCCAGCATTGATTAACAGCCAGGGCTGCCACGGAAAACCCGAGCTGTGCCTTCTTTTGTGCACTGCCAGGTGGATTTCACAGAACCCCAGAATCACTGAGGTTGGAAAAGACCTCCGGGATCATCAAATCCAAGATGTGACAGATTCCCACCTTGTCACCAGCCCAGAGCCCTGAGTGCCACCTCCAGGCATTCCTTGGACACCTCCAGTGATGGTTACACCAGCACCTCCCTGGGCAGCCCCTGCCAAGGCCTGACCACCCTTTCCATGGGGAAATTCCTCTGATATCCACCCTGAGCCTCCCCTGGCACAGACTGAGGCTGTTCCCTCTCCTCCTCTCCCTGTTCCCTGGGAGCAGAACCCATCCCCACCTGGCTACACCCTCTTGTCAGGGAACTGTGGAGAAAAAAGGTCCCCCTTGAGCCTCCTTTTCTCCAGGCTGAGCCCCACAGGTGAGGGAGCTGATCTTCTCCACAGGCTGTGTTTATTCCAGGGATTTGGGGCAAATCCAACAGCTAGGGTTCAGTTTTGATTATTCCACAGAATTTTCTAGATTGTCCCCACTGAACCACTTCTCACCTGTGGGGCTCCTCTCAGCTTTATCCCAGATATTCCACAACCGGTTACATCAAAAAATACATTAAAAAAAAAAAAAAATGAAAGAAGAGACCATCTCATTTTCCAGGAACAATCCCAATTTCTCCTGAGCTCCATCCCAACTCAGCTGGCTGCCATGGAGAGCCAGACGTAGCCACTCCATGGTGACAATGGTGACAACCATGCTGTCCCACATCTGCCCCCCTGGAATGTCTGCCTGGGTGAAAAGCAGCGCAGAAATACAACTTGACCTTATTGTTGTTGTCATGAAACTAAAATTAGTCCCTCAAAGCTCCCTGGTGAAATGACTCGATAAAAAGGCTCATTGAAAGGTTGTTTCCACAGATAATCAGATATGAGCAGACACTGAAAATCTGTGTGACACCAATGAGGGGCTGGCAACAATGAGAGGGATGGTTTAGTGGTGGTGAGAGACCTCATGAATAATCAATTTAGCAGCTGTAATGAAAGCAAAAGCAAGGCTGATGTTAAAGGAAATGGTGGTAGGTGAAATAATGTGTTAGGTTTTGGGGTGGGTTTGTTGTATTTGCGTTTTAATATGTTTATTATTATTTTTATTTTCATTATTGTGATTATTTTGCTTTAATTATTATTGTTGTTGTTGCTGTTAGATATCTAATTCTGCTGTTGAAATACCCAATTATCTGAATTGACTGAGCATTTTTTACGCTCACGGATTGCAAAGAGCTTCTTTGACTTCTTCACTGGTAACATTTAAAGAAGATCCCAAGAATTAATTTCTATTGGGCAGGCAGTGCCTGATCACCAGCACAATCTTGAGTCTCACTGACCTGGATAATTCAACATTTATGTGAAATCCAGGTATTTTTATTTTCTAAGCAAGGAGGAGAATGAAATGGCACCCACTGAACTCACATTTTACCTCAGAACCTGGAGCCTCAGGCCCAAAGGAAATATCCAAGCAGAAGAGTAGAAAATACAAATATTCACAGAGAACTTTGTAGCTAAGAATAGAACCACACAGGCACAGACCAAGACTTTTTCCTTAGGGATTAACTGGGTGTCGGAAGGGTTTTTACGTTATTATCCAAACTTTGCAGCTCATTCCTAGCTGTGAGTTTAAAATCTCATGGGAGTATTAAAACCTCAGTGCTGTCTAGAACTGCTTATTAAGTGGTTATTATAATATATAATAATAATAATAATACAATAATAATATAAATTATTATCAGGAAAATATTCATTAGTCCAGGACTTCCTTGGGATTTGTTTCCATTTTCTGGCTCTACAAGAAGAGCAGTGAGGTGATCTCAAACATGTTTTCCAGCCTGAAGAGGGACATCACCACCACTTTTACAGCTCCATGGATGTCCTGAGGTTCCTGCACTGCATGATTTTCCTTTAGAAACGTTCCCCAGGGAAGAAACAGAACAACCAAACCAAACAATTCCTGATATAATGGCTGGTGAGGAAGAAGGAAGGTAATATTTGAGCACTTTGAGCAATATCTTGAGAGGTATTGAGCAATCTGGTCTAGTGGGAGCTGCTCATGGCAGTGAGGCTGGAATTGGATCATTTTTAAGGTCACTCCAACCCAAGAAATTATCTGATTCCATGATTCCTTATTTCACACCTCCAATAAACAAAATCACCTACATTTCTAGCCATGGGGTGACAGGATTCTGTCTCCATTTCTCTGGACTCAGGCCAAAATAAAGTCATTTCTCTGACCCCTTTATAGGCCAGCAGAACTGGATCTAATCATCAAAACAAAGCCCTGATCAAGCAAGAAGGAAATATTGCCATTAAGGGTGTGCTTAACTACTACTGATAGGGTTCATCACCTCGGGGCATTGTGCTGCTCATCTCACCTTAATTCAGGTGAATTCAGAGGAATACCTGCCCTCCATCCTGCCTCAATCCATTGGGAATTCTGCAGGATCCTGGCTTCCCATCCTTCTGTGCCCTGCACAGGGCAGGAGCTGACAGCAGGCACAGCCAGAGCCAGAGACACGACCCTAAATCACAAAGGACCTTGGAAAGCCCAAGGAGCACCCACCCCAAAATGCCTCTAGCACATAATGATCCCAGTGGTCAGATTGCCACCTGATGGCCACAGCTGAAATACAATAGGAAATCCCAAATCCCTGCTCTGCTGCATCCGCCTGGCAGGACCAGCCCAAAAATCCAGCTTTCCCTCAAGGCAGTGGGAACTGTTGGTGTCAGTCAGCTCTGGATCCAGTCCTGGCGTTCCTGAGCACTGTGACTCTCTAAGTCCTCTAAATCCCACATGAAATTAAAAGAAATGAGAATTCTCCCTAAACTTTCACCCTCCTCATGGATATACAACTTCCTTCCCAGGCTTTTCTTCCTGCTGGCTGCAAACCTGAACCTGTGGAGAGGGAAATGCTTGGATTCCCTGGGGGATCTCACTTCTGGGTGCTACAAACATGCTTTTCCTTAGCCTTGTGTGACAAGGGAAATGTACTTTTGTGGGTTGGATTGTGAAACACCCTTTCTAGAAGTTTGTGTGAAAGAGTTCTGCCAGAAAAGATGCAGATTAGTGACAAAATGTCATGAGAGGAATTATTCCTCTTCCATTAAGGATGGGGCTGAAGCATTAAATGCTTCAAAGATCTTGCAAAAATGGCTTTCCCCCCATCCATGGGCAATATTAATGAGAATGCTGTAAGGAAATGACAATAAACAATTAGGTGTTTAAGATTCTCAAGCCCACCACCCAATTTCTTTATCACACTCATTGCAAGAACCTTTATCCTCCACCTCCATCCAAGCTGTACTGGGATCTACAACATTTGCTGGTGGATACTTGTCTGAAATTAACACATTAACCCAAACCAGCGCCTGGCCATGAGGAACCCCCTGGGACCAGGTCCTCAGACTACAGAGGATGCTCTGACAGCTGCCAGAGTGAAAGGAAATTCTGCTTTAAATGACCATTGGGAAATGTTTATTTATCTCTTTTGTTCACTCACAAAACACCTTCATTTTCACAAATTTAACAGTTGAGAAAAGGCTTGGGCAATAAATATCCAGGCAGGGAAGTGGCAATGAGTGGGAAGTGGTTTTGCCCCTGTGTCACCGTGCCAAGGGAATGTCACAGGGCCTGTTTTTACCTTTGAGAAATGGTGCTGTTCACACAAACCTTTATTTAATTTTTCACTTCATTGGGTACTTCTGCTACAACTTGCTGTGGTTTTGCCAACTTTTCTGAACATATCTAGTGGCACCCAGCTTGGAATTCTAGTATTCTTCTCTTTGGATTCCTCCCGAATCTTGGACCTTTAACACCACATGACACTGACACACCAAGCACCTCAGATTATTTCTCAGTGGAACAATCATTTTTCTTCCTTAGATCATATCCAGAGCTTCTCACAGCTCCCTGACACCTGAGAACACCCTAAATGATATGAGTAAAAGGAATTGGGGACAATCAAAATGGCTGTGGGTGAGATCTGGTCTTCCCTATTCCCTGCTCAAGCTGGAATGGTGGCACTATTGTGACAGAACGAGTCACAGGTCACTGGCTTTGTCCAGCTGACAACTTAAATTCCACTAAATAGGTGTGCATGGAAAATTCAGACCCTGCCAACCTTAAATCGTTGGACAGTCAGTCAGATCTGAGCTGATTCCACATCAAACCCACCAGCCCAGCTCCAGCAGACACCCAAACTCCACTCTCAGCTTGTTCCCCTTAAAACACTATTTCTCTTCCACACTACAAAGCACAGAATTTTGGGAATGCTCAAGAAGCAGGAAGATGCTTATGGGGTAAACAGGATTCTGGAGGTGGGTGATCAGGAAGCCATCCCTGAGGGACCCAGCTGCTCCAAACTCTGCTGGCCAAGGTCCGCTGGCCAAGCTCCTTGTACCCCCACGACAGTCCCAAACACTCACATTCGCCAGGCTACACATGGAAATGTTTATTTATCGCTGCCACTGAAATAAAATCTGAAGGAGCCACAAGTTTTAGCACATCCCTGTGTAAGATTCCAGACAAGAACAAGCTCTAAGCATTCCCAGCACACGAACCTGTCCCAAGTACTGCTGAGTCAGTCTCTGCTGCCCAAATCTTTGAAGCTGCAGTTTAAGGACAAAATACAGGGAACTTCCCTGGCTCTGGCTGATGCAGAACTGCTGCAGGACATGTTAAAAACCCAATTTACTGCTGAAGAATACTCAGAACTGCAGAGACAGTGAGGCATGAGGCAGGAGGAGGAGACAGGACAAGTGAAAAGGAAGAAGGACTCCCATAAAAATTAAACCCCTGCAAATGCAGCCCCTTTCCCATGCTTACTTTGTATATTCATTTTTCAGGTTTCACATTTATGCCCTGCTTTGTCCTAGCTGGAACTGCACCTCTTGAAGCAGCTTCAAGTCCTTTTATTAAAAAGAACCAGAAAGCAGATCCTAAACGAGCAGTGAGAGCAGATGAGGGCTGAGCAGAGTTAATCGGGTGCATTTTTCAATAACCATTCTAAAAGCAGTTGCTGCAGAACTTGGCTGTGAGTAGAACAGGTATTAAGGATTTCAAGTGCCTTTGGTTTTAAGCAAAAAAAAAAAATTAAGTGTTTTCTTTTATTAAGGGATTTCTGCTGGCAGAAATGAAGAATAAAGCTTGAAACAGTATTTCAGTGTGTTCCTTAATACCCATTTTCCTCTAGTAAAACCAGCAGGGAAAGTGTCCAAATTACTCTGCTCTACATGCCAGTATTATATTTCCAGTAAAAGTCTGGTTCAACCAGGCATCAAAAATATTTCCACATAAGATCCTTTTAGAATCAAACTCTTCAGAGAATGTTATTGTTGTTTGTTGTCCGTAACTTTGCTTCACCTGATCTCCCCAAATCCACAATTTTGTTTTATATTTGAATTCAAGCTGACATTTTTACAATTTGTGCTATGTCCAAATATTCATTTGATCCATATTTGGATGCAGTAGATAAAGTTGGTTAAGAAAAAAAATAATTTTTAAAAAAAAATAATAAATAAAGCTCTGCTATCTTATTATTAAAGGCATTGGAAAAAATATCAGCCTTTGGGATTTTTGTCTCTGAACTATTTATGAGATAAAAGCTCCAGTGGAGTGTCACAAGATATGTACAGTGTATTACCAGAGTGGTAATAAACATTTAGGGAGAATCTATAGAAATAACACAGCAGCAAAAAAATTCAGGGAAGGAAGAGAGGAAAGCCTAGAGAAAAGCTCCACTCGGTGCAGAAAAATCGTCATTGCTTTGCAGTGGTTTGCTTATTTTTGCTCCAAAATCCCTCCCCTTTAAAAACCTATAGAAACACTCCGACCCCGCTGAAACGCAGCAAAGTGGAACTTTGGAAACGACCGCGAGAGAAAATTCTCCACTGGGAGAAACGCTCCCTAGTTAGAATAAATAAAGAAATGCGCTTGGGCTGGCTCTCCAAAAACTAACAGCCCGTGCTGGATATTTCTCTCGGTGCTGGATGTCAGACCATGGAGCGAGAATAAAGCGTTTGTGAGCCTCCAAAAGGAGCCCTCGCGATTGGAATTCACGTCTCTGCCAAGCGGAGGCTTTGGGGCTGTTGTCACCGTCTCATTGTCATTCTGCTCACTGTGGCTTCCCCAGGGTCCCGAACAGGAGTCCTGGCATTATTAACACGGCAGATTAATAGCAGCGGGGAGAGGCATTTTCACAAACACGCCAGATATTAATATTAATCGATAACAATTTCCAGTTCCTGACGGGAGGCACGCAAATGTTGCGGGAGGAGAGGAGGGAGGGCAGAGTGGGGAAGGGGACGGTGCCCACGGAGTGGGGAATGAAAGGGGAGCAGTGAATCAATGCAGGACACAGGACGGAGCCGTGAGGTGGGTGTCAAAAGCAGGGCTCTATTTTCACAGGCACACACAGGCACACATTTTAATGCCACCAGATAAGTTGGATTTGCCTTGCGCCGGCCAAAAAAAAAAATTCCCGGGAAGCTCACTGGTTTTATATTGGGGAAGAAACAGCAGAGCTCTGCAAAAACAGGGGGAAAATATCCTGCATCCTATTTTTTGCCTTCCCGAGTAAGGCTGTACTCTGCAAATTGTATTTTCCTTAACACTCAGAACAGCACACAGATATTTTTAAAATTCAGGCCTGGCCATATTTATCAGATTTCTGTGTTTGTATTTCAAGTTCTTTTCTACTACCCCCTGCTCCATTTTAAAGACAAAAAAACTGTAAAACTTTTTCCATATTTTCTAATGGATCAGACCTATTTTTTTTTTAATTCAGTCTT